TTTTAAGTCCAACGAACTTAAATAAGAAAGTAAGGTGACGGTAGCTTGTTTGGTGATCTTTCCGGTGTTGTACAAAATTCAGTTCCCCTGTGAAAATCTGTTCCCCCTGTGTTGGGAGGGCTGAACCAGTGATTTCCTCTAAGGTTAACCAGTAGGGGGGAACAGATTTTCACAGGGAACTGGATTTCGTACAACACCAGTTTGGGTCGTTTTGACTTCAACCAGAAAGGCGGATACACGTATTGTCAGGGGAAAACCGAGCAAAAATAAAATCTAAAATAAAACATATATTCCCCGATGTTTTATGGTTTTCTGCAACAGTTTACGAACTTTGATCCTAAAACTTACTGGCATACCGCAGATCTAACAATTAATGGCTGATGTTTATAGTGTTAAATTTATTGTTTTCTTTATGAGAACCACAGACACTGTTTAATTGCTGTGTACCTACTATAAATTTTACACATCAGACTGTTCCTGTGGAAAAATTAGTATTAAAAAGTCCAGGGAAATGGACTTATTTGAAGTAAAACTGGGTTGTTTTATTATCTTGGCTTTTATTTTGAAAGACACAGGTCGGAAGTGAGTTTATTGTTGCCGGTAGTGGAACTCCGCAGTCATGTTGTCATTACGGTAGCCTTCAGGTTCTGCAAATGTCCTAGTTTTGAACAGGTTGTTGTTTTTATGTGTGTAAACATGAACAGGACACAGCTGAAGCGCTCTCATATCTTAAGGATGGCTCTGTCTGGCTCGGAAGGGACGAACCAGGACGGAAGAGGAGAAGAAGAGGCTTTTTTACTCCGAGCAGTCAGAATAGCTGCTGTGGTCGCGCTTTACTGGTTTGTCTCGATAACAATGGTGTTCCTCAACAACTACCTGCTGGACAACCGAGACTTGGACGCGCCGCTGTTCGTCACTTTCTACCAGTGTGCGGTGACTGTCGGCCTGTGCTGGCTCATGCAGCTGGTGTCCAAGTTCTGCCCCAGAGCTGTCGACTTCCCGTCGGTCAAGTTCGACTTGAAGACGTCCCGGGAAGTCCTGCCGCTATCGATCGTCTTCATCAGCATGATCACCTTCAACAACATGTGTCTGAAACATGTCGGGGTGGCTTTCTACACGGTCGGCCGGTCCCTCAGCACCGTCTTTAACGTGCTCTTATCGTATGTTCTCCTGAAACAAACCACGTCTCTGCGAGCTCTGGTCTGCTGTGGGATCATACTGGGTAGGTGCACATCTTCTTTGTTTTTATTTATTGCTAAAGTAAACTACAAAACATGACTTTAGTCCAGCTGTAAAGCGCAGCTGTATCAGACCTACTCTTATACAGTAGTTTATCATTTGCTGATGTCATCTGTTTATTTACATCACTAGGCTGTCAGTAAAAACAGTAATGAGACAAGAAGTTRCTATAATACTATAACTGATAAGTAATTTGGCAAACATATCAAGTAAAGTTTTGATGTTACTTTATAACTTATTTGGATTAGTTTCTTTTCACCTACAGTTATATTTGTGTAACAAYAATTACAGCGGGTAAAATAAGTATTGAACACGTCAACATTTTTCTCAGTAAATATATTACTAGAGGTGCTAATGACGTGAAATTTTCACCAGATGTTGGTAACAACCCAAGTGATCCATACATACAAAGAAATCAAACCATAAATGTCCAGAAATGAAGTTATTTGTAATAATGTGGAATAGCACAGGGAAAAAGTATTGAACACGTGAAGAAAGGGAGGTGTAAAAAGGCATGGAAAGCCAAGACACCAGCTGAACTCTCTCAGTAATTAGAAAGCAAGCCTGCCCCTTGTCAGTGCAAGTTAATATCAGCTGGTTCAGTCCCAAATGATGGCCAGGTATCACACAAGAACCATCTGATGATGGGTAAAAGTAAAGAGCTCTCTCAAGACCTTCACAACCTTATTGTTGCAAAGCATAATGATGGCATCGGTTACAGAAGAATGTCTAAACTTCTGAAGGTTCCAGCGAGCACTGTTGGGGCCATAATTCAGAAGTGGAAAGAACATTATTTCACCATAAACCGACCACGACCAGGTGCTCCTCACAAGATTTCTGACAGAGGAGTGAAAATAATTATCAGAAGAGTTGTCCAAGAGCCAAGGACCACTTGTGGAGAGCTTCAGAAAGACCTGGAATTAGCAGGTACGATTGTTTCAAAGAAAACAATAAGTAATGCACTGAACCACCATGGCCTGTATGCACGCTCACCACGCAAGACTCCACTGCTGAAGAAACAGCATGTTGACGCTCCTTTAAAGTTTGCTGCACAACATTTAGACAAGCCTGTGTAATACTGGGAGAATATAGTCTGGTCAGATGAGACCAACATTGAACTGTTTGGATGCCAGAATACACATCATGTTTGGAGGTCAAATGGCACTGCACATCACCCCAAAAACACCATACCAACAGTGAAGTTTGGAGGTGGGAACATCATGGTGTGGGGCTGTTTTTCAGCATATGGTACTGGCAAACTTCAAATAATTGAAGGAAGGATGAGTGGAAAAATGTACAGAGACATTCTTGATAAAAAATCTGCTTCCATCTACCAGGATGATGAAGATGAAACATGGCTGGACATTTCAGCAAGACAATGAGCCCAAACACAAAGCCAAGGAAACTCTCAGTTGGTTTCAGAGAAAGAAACTAAAGCTGCTGGAATGGCCCAGCCAATCACCTGACCTGAATCCAGCAGAAAATCTATGGAAAGAACTAAAGATCAGAGTTCATAGAAGAGGTCCACGAAACCTTCAAGATTTGAAGACTGTTTGTGGAAGAATGGGCCAAAATCACACCTGAGCAATGCATGCCACTAGTTTCTCCATACAGGAGGCGTCTTGAAGCTGTCATTGACAACAAAGGCTTTTGTACAAAGTATTAGATAAATTTCAGTAAGTGTGTTCAATACTTTTTCCCTGTGCCATTCCACATTATTACAAATAACTTCTTTCTGGACATTTATGGTTTGATTTCTTTGTATGTATGGATCACTTGGGTTGTTACCGACATCTGGTGAAAATTTCATGTCATTAGCACCTCTAGTAATATATTTACTGAGAAAAATGGTGACGTGTTTAATACTTATTTTACTCGCTGTAAGTAGTTAAACATCTTGACAAGCGTTCAAAAGAGACGTTTTGGCAAAGCACATGTCATCAGTTTGCACATTCAGGTGGATCAGTGTTTATAGAGGAGTTGTCCTCTAACAAAAGAGTTGGAGATTGGATTCCAGCAGTCTGCGGTCACACAATGACATGTCCCTGAGCAAGACACCCTTTTTGCTTCTGCTGTGTCCTGTCAGTGTATGAATTTGATCTAAAGCGCTGATTAGACTCCACAAAATGAATTATTCAAATTAGCTTTATAGAGATGTAGAAGAGTGCTGTATTAGTATGTGTGTATGAATGAATGAATGAATGAATGAATGAATGAATGAATGAATGAATGAATGAATGAATGAATGAATGAATGAATGTTAAGGCGTCGCAGCTGTTTTTGAAAAGTTAACTTTACCTCTGAGTGTTTGTCTAAAACAATATGCGCTCCACGTTTAACCCATTGCACAACATTGTTCTGTTTTCCTCTGATCAAGCACAGACRAAGCTCCAAGTTCTGCAACACAAAAAGACAAAACAAAGGAGAAACATTAACCCAAACCAAGAGTACGAGACAATTTCAAAACAAAGTACAGATGAAAACAATCCGTAGTTTTCTAACAAATGAATTGTCAAAAAAAGCAAGAAATCAGAAAGTAGTCAAAAGCAGTACTAATATTATAAAAAAGTTAAAATAATTAATACAAAGCATCAGCTTTAGTTAAGTTGTGTAATTAAACCAGCTGGCATCACACTGTGTATTACTTTGACTTGTGGGCAGCTTTTCAGTAAATTGATCACTTGGGCAAACTTGTACAGGTCAAGCAGCATTTTTACCACTGATCTGCTTTACAACACTTTTTGCTTTATCTTTCTTTATCACATACTCAAGTTGTGATCAGATTTAGTAAGTTCAAGGGCGTAATTTTAGGTCTACATTAGTATACTGAATCATTTACTTTTGTAGAAAAATTCAGGATATTTTGGGGTTAAAATACATTTTAATACTGTGATTTAACTTTCATGTTTCTTTGTATTTACTCTTCACCTTGTCTGCTGTCAGTTCAACAATTAAGAAAAGGTTTATTTCCCCCTCTCATTTTTTCCAACAGTAACAAATATTAAATCTTTTAAGGAGGTATTACACAACATACCTAAATGTCTAAAGAGTATGTATTTTTTATGCACTACATTTTGACTAGGAAAATTTGCAACACATGAATGCAGCTAAAATGTGACAGAAGCAGACTAAAAGCCTTCAAATTTAACAAGTTGTCTTTTTAGATCCAAGAAAATGCAGTAAAACGACTGTTAGGAAATTTTAGAGCAAACATCTAACAGTAGCATAGCACCTTCAGTGTTAAAAGGTTTGATTGATTGGCATCTCTAATTTCTTCGTGCGCTTGCCTTTCAGGTGGGTTCTGGCTTGGCGTGGATCAGGAGGGCTTGGCAGGGTCCCTCTCCTGGTCGGGTGTGTTTTTCGGGGTTCTGGCGAGCGCCTGCGTCTCCCTCAATGCCATCTACACGAAGAAGGTGATGCCTGCAGTGGAGGGGAGCATCTGGAAACTGTCTTTCTACAACAACATCAACGCGTGCGTCCTCTTCCTTCCTCTCATTTTTGTGTTTGGGGAGGCGAGCAAAGTAGCCAACTTCAGCCACTTGACTGATCTGGGCTTTTGGGGGATGATGACGCTGGGGGGAGTGTTTGGCTTTGCCATCGGCTACGTCACGGGCCTCCAGATCAAGTTCACCAGCCCCCTCACCCACAACGTCTCAGGAACGGCAAAGGCCTGCGCCCAGACGGTTATTGCCGTGGTGTACAACTCATCCAGTAAAAGCCTGCTGTGGTGGACCAGTAACTTGATGGTTCTTGGGGGCTCGTCGGCCTACACGTGGGTCAAGGGTCGAGAAATGCAGAAGACAACCCACAGGGACGCTCAGGACTCGGCGAAGGAAAAACTACTCCCAGAGGAGAAGGGTAACCCAGGAGTGTAACCATTGATATATATCACTGGATTGGGCGTGGCTAGTGTGTTGCTAGCTACATTGACATGCACACCCTGGAGCTCTGTTATGCAGTGAAGAACCTCAAAAAAAATGAATGGATGTCAATGGACTGAGGCGTCATCCCGATGGAAAAACTTATATATTTTTTTATTTCTTGCTCGATTTTTACAAACTAGTCAACAATCCAATAAAGTCCATATTCTACAAGTTTAATATCAGTAAATAATATATTTGACAACAGATAAAATCAATTTTAAGTAACATTAAACATGAACACTGAAGCTTTTTAATGTTAGTGTACCGGTTTTATGATTAAAATAATAAATTTTGGTTAAATATACGGAATATTTACCTGTGAAACATAACTCTTTTAGCTCTTGTAAACATGTTGTAACAATTTCTGCAGTGTATAGCAAAGTATTTGAACCATTTATATGTTTATAAAGCGTTTTTTTGCACCGCGCTACGTTCTGCTCATTGATTTCAATGGTTAGCGTTAGCATTAGCTCAATGCATAAAAATTTCCCTTGCAAAGCACACCCAGGTCACGTGATGCCCAATCCAGTAATATATATCAATGAGTGTAACCACCTCTGTATGTAGAAGAAGAATGGAAAACACTCTGTGGTTAAATCATTTATAGTTTTTTAGGGGCATTTTACAATAATTTTATAAGAGAAGTGCATTCTTTTAAGTTCTTTTTTAAATGGTCTATTCTACAACTAGATAGAAAAATGTTGTATGAGCAAAACATTAGGTTGAGAAACGTGATGTCACAGGAAAATCTAAACTTTTCTACATGTTAAAGTTCATGGCAACTGTTTTCTTAAAGGGGATTAAAAGCATCTGTTGTTTTATGAACTTATTATCTCACCGTGTCAAGACCAGTTTTGTGTCTGCTAATGCTAACAGGATGCATATGTTTGATATCCTGAAGTTCAGGGATGAGCTGACGGATAAGTTCACAAACTATCAGTCAGATTCTTTTATTCAAAAATAAACTCTTTTTTTTTTTACTTTTAAATGTACAAATTGTTCTAAACATGTTATAATGTTTTTGTCCCAACGTGTTAGCTCTCGAAGTATGTGTTGAGATAGACTCTCAGCTACTATACCAATATGTCCAAATTACTGAGTTATAATATGTTATGTGTTTGCTAGTTGATCAGCTGTGGCRGCAATCTTGAATTGTGTTGACYCCAGAAGTTAGTCAGTTGTACATCCAATAAGTACTTTCTCTGAGATGTACTGCTAACAGACAGACACGGTTTTAATTAAACACTTCAAAAACTGTCCATCRAACCAAGTCTTATAATCTTATATCCAGTCAAAAAGTGTTTTGAGTCTAATATACTAATCAAAAGCAGAATATATTAGATTATTGATCTTGTTAGYCTGGACAGTTTCCTTATTTCAAGAAGTCTTACTAAGTGTAATTATCTTACTGCACGGACAGATTGTTTTACTTAATTTGAGAAGATTYAGAAAAAGACAATTGCACTTCRTAAGACTTTTTGAAATATGGGGAAAAAAATCAGGCTAACAAGATAAWCTAACATTCTGCACATGTTTAGTGTATCAGTCTCAAAACAAGATCAAAATACTTYGTGTTTTTGAAAGTGGCTTAGCTGTAACAGCCATCAATAATACTGGCTCCAAAAAGTCATACAGTGATTACTGTGAGTGCTTCACTGAGATGCATTCAGTGGTTTATAAGATATTTTGCAGACAAAACAACAGACAAGGATAAAAAACATTATTGTCCTTTCACCTTCAGCAGTGAGTGATTAAAAATGTAGCATGGCTAAAGTAAAAGTCATATCAACATTATCCTCACATGGCTGTGTTTACACTGTTTCAGTTATCAGTGTTTGACTTTGTGGTTTAAAAATAAATCAGATTTTATGTCACAGGATTCTTCTGACTTCTCTGTTTGTCTTGTCTGTAAAAGTTTTAGCAATTGTTTTCAACGTGAGYCCTTTGACTCATTTAAACTTGTGCAGATAAAGAAATGTTTCTTGTAATGAGGACAGCTTGCACTTGTTTTACTGTGAAGAAATGAAGGTACTG